AAAACCCTGCTTCTCCCCCAGTCTCCCACCCCTATCCCCAGAACAATACAGAAAGGGGGTTTTCTTCAGAAACAAGCCTCCTGGCTCAGGAACAACCTCCTACCACAGCTATTTTCAGACTTTTATACTCTAATTCAAGAAAAAGCATGACAGCAGCAGAGGAGTAGACACATTCACAGTTTGTAACACTCAGCCTTCTTTGTTTTCTTGAAGACAGAAGAAAAGATGTATCATTTATGATTAATCAGTCATTAAGGGCCATTTCATTTCTAAAGACTATCCAAGCAAAAATCATCCATGTAAAAAAAATAACTATCTGTATTATAGTTATGCCTCCATTCCTTAGGACCTTTAAAACAACCAAATTTCCTGGATTTTTTTGTTGTTTTTAAGACAGGTTCTTGCTGTGTGGCCCAGGCTGGCCTCAATAAGTGTTCCTCCCAGGTGCCAGGATTATGTGTATGCTCTATATCTGGCCCTCAGCCATTTCTTAAAGTTTTTGGAGTTTGTTTTTTTCTATTTTTTTTTTTTTTTAATATTGCGAATGTATACATAAGTTGGGACAACTTTCAGAGGTCAGTGCTAGTCTTCTACCCTTATAAGGGTCTCTTATTTCTACTGTTCCAAAGTAAACTTCAAGCTAGATGTGTACCACTACATCTGTCTTTAACATGGCTTCCAGAGATCAAATTCAGGTCACCAGGCTTGCTTGGCAAGTGCTTTTATCCACTGAGCATCTCCTTGGTCCCTTTAGCTTGCCCTGCCCCCTCACTGGCTGTAGCACTCTGGAGAGCAGATCCTGCACCTCCCCTGGCCAGTACAATGGAGCTGGCCCTGAGGGTGAAGGCACAGATGAGCCAGCCCTGAGGGTGTGAGAGCAGAGAGCTGGCCCAGCCCCTCACAGGCTGCAGCACATGGGGGGAGCTGGCACTAAACCTCAACTGGGCAACACAGTGGAGCTAGCTTTAGAAGCATGGGTGCTAGTGAGCCCAAGCTTAGGGCATGACAGCAGCTGATGGCAGAGGTCTGACCTAGGTCATCCATCTGACCTAACCAGAGCAGTGCTGGAGAGCTCACCCCATTGGTGCAAATAAGGGGGAGCAAGAAGGCTAACCAGCTGAGCTACTACCCAGGCCCAGATCCAGGGCTCTGAACTGTTCCAAAATCTGTATCTTTAATCAGTTGGGGAGTGTGAAAGGGCCAGTCCTGCTGATCCAAACCTGCAGGATCTCCATTACACAAGCAACAACAGGATTACTGGGAGAAAAATCCAATATTGATGGTGTCACAAAAGCCAGACCTTGAACCAGAACAATGACTCACTACAATGAACACTTGCAAGTGAAGATGTGGACAGGGGATATGCTGTTTGGCACATTGTAACCTAACACAGCTCCCATGATGAAATGTTTTTTATGTTTGTTGTTGTCTGATTGTGTGTTTTATTGGGGTGAGGTAGGTTGTCAGAGTAAAGGGTGGATATAAATGGGACTGAGGTACATGATGTGAAACAAAGACTCACTAAAAAAGTAAAAAAAAAAAAAAATTAATTAAAAAAAATAAATTTAGGGGCTGGAGAGATGGCTTAGCAGTTAAGAGCACTGGCTGCTCTTCCAGCGGACCTGGGTTCAATTCCCAGTACTCACACAGCAGCTCAGAACTCTCTGTAACCCCAGTTGTAGGGGATCAGACATCCTCACACAATATAATGCTGACAAAAGACCAATGCATATGTAATGAAAATAAATTTAAGGCAATTAACTTTTTCAGATACTGTAAAAACTATGGGGAAAAGGTTTTTTATATAGCCAGCAGGCTATAGGAAGGTGGACACAGCCAGGTCAGGTGAGTTAAGGCTGGTGCAGAAAACTTACTTGTTAGTGCCAGAGTCCAGTGTAAAAAAAGTAAACTCAGCAGGCCCCACTGTTTACTAAGTGCCTCTGGTAGGTCAGGCATTAACATAAATGACTCACATGTATCATCACATTGAACCACTTCAACAACCCAACCAGACAGATGGTTAGCACAGTCCACATATGACAAAGAAAACTGAAGGTTACAGAAGTAATTTGTTTAAAATCACACAGCTTTAATTACTACAGTAAAAGCACAAGCAGTATCAAAACCTACCACTGAGCAGGTCTAAGTAAAAATATTCAATTAAGTGGTCGAATTGTAGCTGATGGCAAATTAAGAATATATGACAGAACAGAATTGATAGGCCCACCCAAGAATATCACTGATAAGCTTCAGAGAAGAACAAGGAAGCACTGAAAGGTATCAATGACAAAACATTATTACCTACAAGTCTGTCTTAATTCATTTGAGAGAGGAATGCTCAGACATCAGCACGGTTTTTCCATGCTTATGCAAAATCTCTCTCTCTCTCTCTCTCTCCCCACCCCCTACTTTCTTCCTTTCTTTCTTTTGGATATTTGAGACAAGGCTTCTGTGTAGCCTTGACTATCCTGAAACTTGCTCTGTAGACCAGGCTGGCCTCAAAATCAGAGATCCTCTTCCTCTCATGTGCTGGGACTGAAGGTGTGTGCAACGATATCTGGCTGCAGATTTTATTAAGCAGAGTGGCAGGAGTTGAAGTTTCTACAATAGTCTCAAATTCCCAGTAGTTCCCCCTCATGCACTGGTTGATAGGACTGGCACCAAAAATTATTATTGTTGTTGTTTTGGGTTTTTGAAACAGGATCTATCTATGTATGCCTAGTTATACTGGACCAGTTAAGTAGAGCAACTGGCCTCAAACTCAAAGAGATTTGCCTACCTCTGCCTCCTGAGTGCTAAAGGCATGCACTACCATGCCTGGCACAGCAACATTATTCTTGACAGCTTATGTAGATGAGCAGAAATTAGACTTAAATCTTCATAGAGATTTGAGTCTACACTCAACAGGATATGCACAGACCATGTCTGTACATAAAACAGATACCCTTCATGAACTTAAAAGCAATTTAAAGTACATTTGTTATATTTATTTAACACATTTACTGTGTTTGTGCATGCCACAGTGCGCTTATGGAAGTCAGAGGACAACTTGAGGGAGTTTGTTCACTTTCCTTCCACTCTGTTGATTCCTGGGACTGAACTCACATGTTATCAGGCTTGATGGTAAACAGCTTCACCTGCTGAGCCATCCTTTTCATCCCTGCCTCCATAAGCTTTTAAGTAAAGCCACAATCTGAAGAACATAATTAGCTATGTTAAGGATAAAATGAGGAATTCAAAGTTTCTTAATTCTAGATTAAAACTACCATATAAACACGACTCTCCTTACATCCACTTGCAGGCCAACACAACAGAATCTGCTTGGGAAATAAGGGATGTAAGCATCAGAAAGAAATGAGTAACACAACTTTGTGAAAGAACCTTCATTCTCTGTCACATTAACAGGGTAGTTGAAGAGGCAGGTGGAAGACCATGTCACCACCTCCTAACCTACGATCATGGAAGAGGTAAAGAACTTAAAACAATAGCATTAAAAACTGGGACTAAATGGGTAAATTGAAATCATATTCTACTCAAATACTTCAAATATAGGAGTGATCATTTTTACATGTGTAGGGAAAGTGGGTGTTCAATAAATGTTGGTGCTATAAGACCATATTAATAACCTCTCATAATAAATAACAGGCAGAAGGAATGCTTCTTAGAAGTATGACCAGTTATAGAGCATAGTGGGGATTTGGAAAGTTGGCAAGGCTTATGAGTAAAACATCCTGTATTGGACAAAGAGTCAAAGGACATTCTGCAAATGATTAAATTACTAAACCACTGCTCCCTACAAATGAACAAGGTAAAAAAGAACTTGGGGAAAACAATAGTGGCATAATGATGAACAGAGAACAACAGTAAGTATAGGTGGTTATCCTTTATATAGGTCTGAAGAAACAAAGCTAAAGAGAAAAACACAAATACATAAAGCAAAAAACCCAAAAACAAACAAAACCCCCAAAGAGTACATATATAAAACTAATACCTTAACCTTAACATAACATGAAACATTTGATGGTTCGAATCAAGCAGACCATACAAGAGTCTAGCATCTATGTGTCCCTTGATACATATATATTATGGCGGTTCTTAGTCACATTCCTAAAGCAAGAAAGGTTTCTTATAAGGCTTAGGCTAAAGTCATGGAAAACTACCCTTAAAAACTTTGAAGTTGGGGCTGAAAAGACAGTTCTTCCAGGACATGGGTTTGTTTCCTAGCACCTACACGGTAAAAAAAAACCCATACATAGAAAATAAAAATAAATACATCTTTAAAAAATATTTTATCTTATTTTATATGTATATCTAAACATATGTAAGTATGTATTATGATATATATGTACCACATACATGCAGTGCCTGCAGAAGCCAGAAGAGGGAATCAGATTTCCCTGGAGCTGGAGTTACAGATACTTGTGAGCCACCAAATAGTTGGTTGGGAACTGAACCAAATCCTCTGCATGAACAGCAACCACTGCACCATCTCTCGGGTGGCCCTTCTCTCCCAAAATAATAATTTTTTAAAATGAACTTCAAGTTTAGGTCTGCTCATGCTAAATGATGGGAAAGCATGATGACTAAGGAGCATCTATGAAGTCTGCACTTTTATAATACTTATAGCTGAGACTTTCCAGCTCCCCAGGAAAGTAGTTACAGTGGCAACAGTAGCAGCAGCAACAACTACCACCAGGTGGGGATGCACACCACAAGAGAGAGAAAGAGGAGCACACAAGGTTTGTCTCTAGAGAGAACTAAATCACACAAAAAAAGAAAATAGTTTATCAAATGTTCTCTTTTCTGAGATTAAGAAACATTAAAATGAACCAGGACACAAACTACCACCAGCTGAAAAATATCAAAAGAAAAAAAAAAAAAAAAAAAAGAGGAAAACTGTAACCTGTAGAAATGAAGAAGCTTCTCCCCAGTGGTTCCCTGCTACTGGAGACAGAGAGATTGTGCCCTTTGTCATCAGGGTGCCAAACCTACCAACCTACCGTGTGGTAGTGTTATGTTTGCACCATCAATGATTGCCTGTGCCAGTTCATGATCATTGCTTTCAAAAGCATGTGCAGCAGCCTTCAAGGCATCCCAGATCTCTTTCCGGCCTTCAAATGCTGGTGCAGTGTCCCAAAATTCATCCCTCTTGCTGCGTAGTTGTCCATCTGTCATGGGATAATCGCTTTTCCATTTTGGTTTCTCCTTTTTCAAAGGCTGGTTACGACCTAAAGCAACTGAAAAGAGAAAAGGCTGACATCAATATTCTCACACACAAAAAAAATCCCTATTCTTTAAAAAAAAAAAAAAAAAAAAAAGGTCATGTGGTTATATTCCTGTTTTGAATTCTTTCATCACAAACAGACATTTGCCATTTGATGCTTTCTGGTTGAAATTTTATGAATCAATCCACAGCAAATGGAGATAAGATAGATGGAAAAATCTTTTCTGTATTTTTTTTCTTTCTTGAGACAGGGTTTCACACTAGTGCTGGCTAGCTTCCAACTCATAGCAATTCTCCCACTTTAGTCTTTCAAGTGCTAGGATTATGAGCCACTGTACCAGTCTGCATAATTTTCAGTAAGTCAATAGCTCTTTTCCATTCAGTATATTTCCAAAAGATTATTACAAATAATTACAGGCCAGGCGGTGGTGGTGTAGACCTTTAGTCTCAGCACTTGGGAGGCAGAGGCAGGTGGATCTCTGAGTTAAGGGCAGCCTGGTCTACAGAGCTATTTCCAGGACACCCAGGACCACATAGGTAAACTGTCTCAAAAAAACAAACACTGGGGCTGTAGAGATGGCTCAGTGGTTAAGAGCACTGTCTGCTCTTCCAAAGGACCTGGGTTCAATTCCCAGGATCCACATGGCACCTCACAACTGTCTGTAACCTCAATTCCAAGGGATCTGACACCTTCACACTAACGCACGTAAAATAAAATTTTAAAAATTAAAAACAAACAAACATTAATTATTTTGAATTAATTAATTACAGGTGGTCAGGGAGATGCTTTAGTCAATAAAATGTCCGAAGTACAAACAGGAAAGAGAGACAGGCAGATTTCTGGAGCTCACTGGCCAGCCAATGTGGGCAAAGCAGTGAACTCCACATTCCCTGATGGAATGACACTGAGAAAGACACCAACAGTGACCTCTGTACTTCACATATACACACGAAGACTTAAACTGTGGGTTGGGAACATAGCTCAGTTGGCAAAGTACTTGCTCTGCAAGAATTAATACCCAAATCAATCCCTACAACCCACATAAGACAAAAGGCTGGATGTGGGTGGCACACGTTTGTAATCCTAGATTTGGGAAGGAAGAAACAAGCTAGTCCTTGGGGTTCACTGCCAGCTAGATTAGCTCACTTGGTGAGTTCTAAATTAATAGGATACCTAGCATAAAAACCAAGATGGACAGCTCCTGAGGCTGACCTCTGGCCTCCTCAAGCACACACGTGCGCCCCTCCCCCACATGCATACATACAAGCAGGTGAATCTCTGTGAGTTCAAGGCCAACCTGATCTACATAGCAGAGTTCCAGGATAGCCAGGAGTACAAGGAAAGATCCTGTCTCACAGAAACAAAAAAGAAACAACAACAATAAAAGCAACTGTAACAAATGTACCACTCTGATAAGAGGTTTGTACAATGGGTAACTATGAACAACCCTAGAAAAAGAATACGCAAATTTTCTGAACAAAAGCTCTATTTTATTCATTAAAACATGCACATATACCAGCCCAAAAGAGTAGTAAGTATTTCACCAAACTAAACAGGGCAGAACATGAGTGGCAGATACTACAATGGTCACACGGGAAAGTAAATGGTGTGAAACGGCTTTGAATCTCAGGATCTTTGGATATAAAAGCCAGAAAGTTGGAACTGAGATGATCCAAAAGTACAAAAGGCAACTTTTTAGTGTTCAAGGACACCGAATTCAGGAAGAAACTGACTAGAGAAATGCTTTCTCCTCCAGCTTCTTCTCAAAGAGCTCAGAATGCCGCCCTCTGAAACTCAAGCAAAAGCTAGTTTGTACAGAAGAGGTGCAGAGGGATGAAATTCACTTTTTCTTTTTTGAGGAACCAGAAATCAAACAGGTAATAGTGGGTCAATGGATAAACTCTCAGTCACAAAGAACTAAAAGAATAGCAATACCATCCAGGCAATAGTGGCACACACCTTTAATCCCAGCACTTAAGAGGCAGAAGCAGGAGGATCTCTGAGTTCAAGGCCAGCCTACTTTACAGATGTAGTTCCAGGACCTATTATAGCCATTCCTACCTATGGGTCTGTAGCTTATATGGTGCCAGGTATAAAAAAGCTTAATAGACCGAAGTAAAAAATAAAATTAAACCATATCAAAAAGATAAAAAATGTTAGGAAAGAGTAGATGGGCAATAAATGACAGAGCTGGTGGGAAGCAGAGACAGTATGCATCAAAATTCATTGTTCCATATGTAGTTCCATATGTAGAGTATCTATTAAAAGAATCTCAAATGGTTCTAAAGTATGCTTTAAGGTAATGATCCCCCTACTGGCCTGGGCTCTGCATAATAGAAAATAAAATGACTCTAGCCCCTGTGAAATCTCAACCCCTCCTGGGCTACACTCCTATATGACAGGGCTAACTAATATGGTAAAGTACACTTAGTTTGACACCTGAATTGAAATAAATTCTTTTTACTAGGTCTGACCATTGCCCTCAAGGCCAAACATACCAGATCTCTTTAGTCTCTCACATAAAATCTTCAGTTGCGATGATGGTTTGGCCCTGTAACTTGTCTCAGGGTAATGCAAAACAGGCAAGTTCTAAAAGGATGGGTATAACAGAGTAGGGAACACTATCCAAGCCTCCTTATGTAATCAACAAATAGATACTGGCTAATACTACACCTATGACTATAAGGTTTGATTCAAATGTGAAAAATTCAATATGTGGTAATGGCTTTCCCCTACATTTTCCCAATAATATTGAAAAGTAAAGCTAAACCACCATTCTTAAAAAGCTATCCTAAATATGTCCAATCCACGATTTACCCACTGGTTCCACCAAGGTGAAATATACAGGTAAATTTCATTTTCTGCAACATTATCCTTTACACGAGCAACCTTAGTTCACTGAGCAGGAAGTGAAGAGGGGGCATGGTAACAAGGAAACTGACTCAGTGTGCCATCTACTTGGAGAATGCAGCAGGTTGACCCTAGCAGTTCTAGACACTCATATGTTGTAAATATTCCAGACCTGACACTTGGTGTAGTTTCACTTGTCACTGTGAGAGACTCGATAAAACCTCTACACTCTTATCTAATAGGAGCAACTCAAAAAAAGACCTCAAACTGGATGTGGTGGCAACTATATACAATTCCATTACCCAGGAGGCTGAGACAGGTAGAGAGCAAATCTGAGTCTAGCCTAAGTAACACAGGGAGATCCCATTTCAAAAAAGAAGCTGTAGCTAGGCAATAGTAGCACACACCTTTAATCCCAGCACACAGGAGGCAGAGGCAGGTGGATCTTTGAATTTAAGGCCAACCTGGTCTACAGAGCAAGTTCTAGGACAGCCAGGGCTACACAGTAAAATCCTGTCTTGAAAAACCAAAAACCAAAACAACAAAACCCCAAACTCTCAAATACAGAAATCCAATTAAAAAAACAGAAACAAAAAACAATCTTTGTGTCTTTACATATGTGAAATACTTTCTGCGGCTCATACTTGTACTAAGTGCAAGAACACAGTCACAGTCACACACACACACACACAAAATGATCCATTTATGTTGGCTAAAGTAACTATCATTTCAAATGTATTTTAAACCTATAGTCAAAAAGTTCCAATAATAATTGTGCAGAAATAAATAAAACAAAATTAGTATTCACCCTAAAGACATAAAATAGGCTCATCTCATTTCTGTCTAGGTTTCTGAACCATAAAGATATGTATCATCTAAGTACATAACAACCACTATTAAAATGACCAAACGTCTGTTGCAAAAGTTATTATTTTGGAAAAGTCATAGATTTAAAAAATCTATGAGTGTTTTTTTGTATCTATGAGTGTTTTACCTGCATGCTTGGGGACCACGTGTGAGTAGTGTCCACATAGGCTAGAGAGAATGTTGGAGGCCCCAAATCTGAGGCTACAGATAGTCCTGAGCTGCCATGTGGGTGCTGAGAATTGAACTCATGTCCTCCGGTAGAAGAGCCAGTGCCCGTAACCACACAGCCATCTCTCCAGTCCTAATATAGAATTTTCACTGCACTACCTGATCTTAAAATTTTTCATGCTGGGTTTAACAAAGTACCAAAACAAGTACAAAAAAGCTTCATGATAACCTAAATCAGAGTTACTGCTTAACATATCTTTAGTTATATAAATTGGGGAGAAAAAAGCTTTTAGCAAATTAATTCAAGCCATCCTCTCATTAAACATGAAAATGGCTTGGGTGGCTAGTGACAGAACCTGGTTCCTCTCCAACAACAGCAAGTGTACTTAACTACTGAGCTATTTCTCTAGCCCTTTCCTTATAAACTTTAAACACTGTTTTCTCACTCTGTAACAGATTTAATACTAAAAAGCTAAAGGCTTGCTTTTCATATGGAACTAAGTACCATATGACCTTAAATATATTTATGATACAACTAAAAGCATTTTACTGCAAATGCTTTTCGACATTGTGTTTATGAGAAACAATGATCTTTGGGGGCTGGGAAGATAACTCAGTTAGTAAAGTCCTTGCTGTGCAAACACGAGGACCTGAGTATGATAGAGAACTTGTATAAGAAGCTGTGAGTGATATAATACCATTGTAATTCTAGTGCTGGAGAGGTAGAAATAGAGACAGGAACTTACCAGCCAGTCAAGCTGACCTAACTGGCAAGTCCAGGACTGAGGAGTGACATCTTATAAGCGAAAGAGAAAGAGGGAAAAGACAGAAACAGACACACAGAGAGACAGTCACAGATGGAGAGAGGGAGGGAGAAAGAGAGAGGGGAGGAGAGGAGAGAGAATCAAAGTTCTTCAAAATGACTCATGATTATAATTATTTTCTTCTTTTGGTTCTTTGAAAATCCCCGACTTGGGGCTGGAGAGATGGCTCAGAGGTTAAGAGCACTGGCTGTTCTTCCAAAGGTCCTGAGTTCAATTCCCAGCAACCACATGGTAGTACACAACCATCTATAATGAGATCTGGTGTCCTCTTCTGGCCTGCAGGCACAAATGTGGGCAGAGCAA